GGGGGGGGGGGGGAGCAACTGCGCAGCGCACACAAAGTGGGGCTCCCACTGTGGCTACATCTGCACATTCTTCAAGAGAGCAGCAACACCAATGAATTCATTTCATACTTCAGAGAGCCCAGCAGGAGCACTCTGCCCTTTCCACCCTGCCAACCACAAGTCTGGCCTAAGAGAGGGATTCAGATAGAATTAAAAAGCCCAGTTATTCAATAGTCCTGAGGGCATGGCTGAACTTCTCACCTGGCCTCACCTTCACTACACCACACACAGCAGCTAACAGCAGCAGCAGCAGCGAGGTTTGCGTGCCAGCTCTCTACCGTTGCCTCCTTCCTCCTATCTTTCGCTATCTTGCACAGAAGAAGAGGAGTGTGGGAATGATTAATGTGCCACAGTGAGGAGGCGTCGCTTCCAGCTTCACAACATCAAGCTCAATTTAGCAGAACTTCATTAAGCGCATCATAAATAATCAACTTTAATTGATATTCCGGCAAGCTGATTAAGAGTTAACAAGAACACAATGGGGACAAGGGAAATGCATTAAACGCCCCGGCGCTGTCTCTTGTTCACCTCTAATTTTGGGCACATGCAGAGAGCGGCACTGTTGCATTTCCATGTAACCAGGATACGCAGTGGGGAGGAAAGAAGAGAAAAAATTAGTCCCACTGATGATGCACAAATCATGAGAGTATGAATATTCATGCAGGCCTTCTGTCCGTGGAAAGTGATAAATGCATCTCACTTTAGCTGACGCTGACTCAGTAATTAAGTGAAGTGTTGGGGGCACAGTCAAAGAGAGATAAAAAGAGAAAGAGAAGAACACGCAGACATCAAGTCAAGTGGTACAGATGCTTGATGTTAGGAAGTAAATGCACTTATTTATTATCAGGGTTTCATCTGATTGCATTTGGGGGTTTTGGCAGGCGGTTCACTAACATGCCAGTGCAGCACGGAAATAAAGTTAGAGAGTGAAAGAGACACTGAATGTGGAACCATTTGCAGTAACCTGGAGAGGTGTATAGGCCTATACCCTGGGGCTCATTGCCCTGATTTCACCACTCTGCAGCTAAAACACCTGAACATACAGCAGCCTCTGCATCCCTCACTCCTGAATAGTTTCCTATAGTTAAAGCTCATATGAATTCCCAATATAGCCTCCTGTGTACCTGTATGACAGCACATTTTTCAGGTCAAACTGAGGCTAATGGTTTTGAGGGTGTAACTCTTTAACTTTTTGGTTTGAAATTAATTTAGTGATCTATTATGACCACATAGGCTTAAGTTTAATGAAAAAAGACACGCATTTGGAAAGATTTGTCAATGTATTGATGTCTAATGCCACCTTTAGATATTTCTATTCAATGCTTTATTAATGTGGCACAATAATGTAATGTTTTTGAGTTCAAATGTCTTCATTTTGGGGCTTTTCCAATTAAGCAAGTATTGATATATGTGATTGTTTGTGATTAAGTCAGCATAGATTTCTGCCACCCACTGCTCAAATCCGCCCCTAACACTTGTGGGTTATGCTAATGTTCCCTACAGGGTTGCAGGTCTATACCAATACCATGTTATACTGTGCTATGAAACTTGATAGTACTAGGTATGTAGGTAGGTGTAAGAAGGTCAAAGAATATTGTATCACAATATTTTGTTTTATGATAATGCATCGATTTAAACCCTCAACCACTAGATAGCAGTGTTGTAAACTGAGGGCTATGATGTTGATGATACAGGGATTGTGATAAATACAAATGCAGATCTCACTGTTCTGGTTACATAAGAAAAGTAAACTTTTTCTAACCCAGATTTTATGCATATGCTTTATACTATGACTGTTATCCTAATATTGGGTTCAAATTTGTAAAAAGAAAATTGCAATATATCCCCTTGCTTACAGTATTGCAATGTATCACAATATATTGAATTTAACCCTTGTATCGTGATACGTATCGTATCGCCAGATTCATGCCAATGCATAGCCTTAATGAATCTGGCCTTAATAATCAGCCTTAATAATACTGCATTATGCTTATCTACGGTATTGAATTCTAAAGTTTAGTAAAAACAAACAAAGACATAATATTTGGTAAAATTATAATACAGTTTCGCTCATTAAAAAGACATTGTTTTCATTCCTTTGAATGGAACAGTAACTGATAAATAATCAATAATGAATAAAATAATAATAATACATAAATGATAATTCTGAGGGGTTATCTTACCTGTGAAGACTCATACCTTTGCACCCTGGATCCAAACAACATAGCTAACTTAGAGATGATTATTCCAGAGGCAAAGCTTCAGTCCCCATAGGAACAGCGTGAAGAAGCCTCAATCATACAGTTCATTTAGAAATTGAAGTAAATGTGCCAACAAATAAGTCCCTGTAGGCAACTCAAGAATAACGTTTAACCTTACTTATTCAACAGGAAGATGCAGCTACGCTAATGTTATTGCCTCTGTACCTTAGAGCTGTGTTCGGTGTTACGGAACAAACATGTACAGTACTGAACCACAACGGGCTGTCTGCTGGAGGGCTATAGCTCTCCTTCTCCGGCATCCCGAACAACAAATCCTCACCTGAATTTTCCGCTAAGTAGGAAAACCCCTTCACGACCAGGAGCAAGCCGCCGAACAAGCATATCTGGATTAAAACCAACTCCTTTCGTTTTTTCCGTCTCGCTCTGACCTTCTTCTGGTTCGGCATCACTTGCGTCGGCCGATTCCGGAGTCGGATACCCGGCAGAGACATCCCCTCTACCGCTGCCACATCCATGCGGATCCCCGAAGTCCAAAAAAAAAACAAAAAAAAAAAAAAAAAAAGGAAGAAAGAAAGAAACGAGCAACCTCCTGTAAGCCCCCAGGAAACTCACTTATCTCCCGGGAATGGATGAAAAAGTGCAGGGGAGGGGTTTCAGAGGACCGGGGGGGAGGGGGGGATGTTAAAAAAAAAAGTTGGAAATTGGTACCGCTGGGATGCTGCGAGGGCTGTTAGGCAAAAAACCGGCGAGCTTCTGGCTGCAAGAGGCGGGCTGAGCTTCTTATGTCATGTTGAGATGAGGTTTGTGAAGTAGTAAGGCAGAGGACTGCTGCACGAGCCCTCCATGGATGCGTCCGTCTGCTGAGTGTGAGAGAGAGAGAGAGCGCGCGCGCGCGAGAGACGAAGAGAGAGAGAGAGAGAGCGAGAGATGCGCGAGAGAGAGCGAGAGAGAGCGCGTGGGCATGTACGCACATCGACTAAAGTAAATCCCAGGTCAGAAATCAGTACAGGTGCTCACACTGGAGGAAGCATTGTATCATATGGGAGCTGGAGTACACTTCTACCCATATGACACTATCGTCTACTTGTTATGTACTTTCCGGTATTTTTACTTTATTTCATGTGCTGTCAAAGTTAAGGTTGCCCATTAAAGCTCCATCACAGACCTTTTCCACAGCAGCCATTTTGACATGACGTAGTGGGGTAAACACAGGTGTTACCAATGATGCTGATTAAGGTTCAGTTCCATTCAGCTCAAACAGGCTCATTTAGTGTCATTGGTAATTCCAGTGCCCGAAAGGGACCACAAAACCCAAATTCAACACAACCCAAACCCTAGTTCTTTTTATCCTTTTTAACAAGGACATTTCCAGTGTTGTTTTCTTAGTGTTAATCTAGCTGACTGCCAGCATTACTGTACGCAGGGTTTTAGAAAACCATGCATGGTCCAAACACTGAACTTGCTGGAAGGTTTTTGGGGCATCAAAGTCATTATTTTTAGGCAATTGTTTTATGACTTTTATTATTTATTTATACCTCTCGAGAAAAATACTGGGGTCCATATCCCCTGGACCTCTGCCGTGGGTACAGCCATGCTCAACAAAGGTGGCGGTACTGAATTAAGAAGTAAAGGTACGCATGTGGACAAGAATCAGAAGTGCCACAGTAACCGGTACGTACCTGCTATTTCAGACACTGCATAACACCCTGTGTTTACCTTACCATTCATGTAAAAGATGGCTGCGTGAAAAAGTCAGGTCTCTAGATTCTTTGGCCACGTAGGGGCAGTGCAACAAGCTGTAAACACAACAATGACATTTTATCACCTCATAAAGTTGACGGGGTGAACGTGTTAGCAAACAGACACAAGCAGCATTCATTTGGAGTTATGTTACTGGCCACCCGGTATATGTAAGTCCAATATTTACTCTCAATATTTAGCTCTAGCTGTTAATATAATGCTCTACCATGTTCACCAGCTGGGTGCTAACTTTGTCTGCTGTCTGGTGCTTGCTACGTGGTGTGTACCGAGCGTTCTGGTCTGAGCCTTTTCACCGAAAATGGCTGCCTGCTGCAGCAGGGCAGGACAAGGTTGATGAGGGCGGTGAGACCGAACCAAAACCACCGCAAATATAACAATGAGCTGAGAGATGCTAAAACGGCCTGTAGAGCTGAGGGGAACTGTAGGGTGTCTGTGTATTTGTTACTATGGACAACACCTTTTACAGTTACAGTGTCTGGATACTTTAGGTATAGCTGAATTCACAACTACTCAAATAATGTAATAATAATGTATTTCAATGTAGTTCAGGTACACAACCACACTTAACATTTTCAAAGTAAAATTACAAAATAGTGTAATACCAGTACCAAAAAATATATGAAAAATAATTTCAGTAGATTAAAGCATGTCTTAAGCACACACATATTCTCCACTGTGCTTTTTTTGACTTGGGATCAGATCTTCATATGATCTCGTTCATATCTAAACATAGTGTATTTGACATAAAAGCTAAATAAAAAAAGTGTTTGAATCAAATGAAATGTAAGTAATGTGGAGATCAGAATTGGAAATTGTTTGTTGTTTGGTTAAGGTGAAAACAAGATGTGTGCCTTTCACTGCCCTCTTCTGGGAATGTCTTTTATTGATGTGCAGTGCAGCAGCCTGTACTTGAAGGAAATGGCATGCTGTACTGCTGAATATCAAAATAAAGTTTGGTTCCTGAAGCTGCACTGGCTTTCTAATAACATTCCTAGATGTTTTGGACTGGTACCACTCACAGGCTCAAACATACACGAATCCTGTGGGCAGCCAAACACTACTCTTCTATAGACATTAACAATAATAATGTTATTATTCTAAATTATGTCAGCATCTCAGCCAAAAGTGAGTGTCATTCCCCATGAACATGGATAAAGACCGGTTCTGTTTCTCTTCAGGCATTTGGACCCTCGCTGCAGCAAATCATTCATCAAGGCCAGGACGGATTAGATGTAGTATTTTCTTTGGTTACACAATAGTAGTTAGGTCATATGGATTGATTTCACTTGCGCCTGCTTGTACATGTTGTCTACTCACTCACTGCATATCTGTGTCTACAAAGCAGCCATGGAGCAGAGATTTCTCTGTGTGTCTGCCATTTCTGATGTCTCTGTGTAACAGTTTGGGTGAAACAGAACTTTAGGATAATGGATAATACTTTATCCCGGCCAAGTGGGTTTCTTGATTGTCGGGCCTGAGGTTTCATATAAATAGCACTGGAAACTTTCCAGCAAGAATGGAAAAAGTGGTCAGGGCTCTAGGCAACTGGTTTCATTGTGCTTTTTTAACCCTTTAGAGCAGCTTAGACTGATAAAAGTAAAGACAAGAAAGATAGGGGAAAGCAAGAGATGTGACTGAGAGCTGGCCAAACATATTTTGAAGAAAAATAATCCATGTTTAATCCAAATACTATTTTTCCCCCAAATAAGATACTGCCAGTTTTTAGCATCACATATGGCAAAGCAAACTCTAGTGACAATCCACTATGACTGAGACATTAGGGCTGCCATGAAACCTGGCTTGTCTAACTTGCAACGTGAGCTTGGACAGGGCATGGAGTTACCAAACAAGATGAATTCCCAACCTCTCAGAGGCACACAAAAGAGAGAAAAAAAAGAAAAACGCAAGGGGAATGAGGGAAGAGGAAGGAGGAGGGGGGCAACAAATTAAATCCAGTTAAATTGTTTTTCCATAGCCAGTGGGCTTGGCAAAGGACTCTCACAAACACACACAAGATGTAAGATAAGTTGTAGAGAAGACTAACCAGACACAGTGTGGTTTCAGATGTAAGAGAATGCCTGGAATTTAACCCACTTTCCCATGTCCGACTGACACCGCGCCCACTGCCCTGCCCTGCAGCCCGGGGTGTCCACGCATGGACACACAAACAGCCATGTTGGTTTGAAATACCTAGATGATTCCGCAGATAGACAAACCTCCAACATCTGCCCCACTCAACACTCCCTGTTCTCACCCCGTTACAGCTGCGATCGGTTGCAGCCCTCTCAGAGGTTTGGTACAGTAAAATCAATAATCAAAGGCCCCGTGGCCTGCTTCATCCACTCTTACTGTAATGCCTGTCTGGCATTGGGATCACAATGCAGTCATTGCAGAGGAGAACTGCAGTTCTAGCCCAGTTTGAAGCAGTACCAAGGCTTGCTAGCTAACAGACATATTTGGGTCATTGTCTTCCCTCACAGAGAGCTCCCAAGTCTGGGCTACAGCAGCTCCTCTCCCTCTCCTGCTGCTTTACACCACAACATGGAGAAACCTCAGCTCAGCACCACTGGAGGGAGAGAGAAAGGGGTTGGGGGGGATATGGCATGGTTGGCCAGGAATAGCTTGCTGAACTAAAAAAAAGCTAAAGAGCTAAAGTTGGGACGATATAGACGGACCAGGTGGTGATGCTGGAAGGAGAAATAAGGACAAGTATCCCTGCTTTTGCATCAGATAAAAAAAACAGTGGAAAAACACACAAGAAACACTGCATGGATTATTTTTTGTATTAACAGCTTTATAAAATGCCAACAAAATGTACATTCAGATCTGTCAAGGGACAGCAGGACAGTGTCATAATCAAAAACATTAAGAAATAGATGTGTTTCTGTGAGGCCAAAGTCTGCCCAACCACACTGGTGTCAGTGTTCAATGATAGTAGAGCGCCGCTGGCCATCTCCACGGAGGCAGAGTACATGTAATTGATACAAACGGACTCGAAGTCACTAAGCCGAAGCTACTTGATCCTAGACGTAAAATTGACCACAGCTGAAGCGAGCAGTATGGCACTAACCCTCCCTGCAGTCAAACCATCATTTCCTCAGTGTGGGTCTGGTGGGGCGACTAAATGAGAGACATGCAGGTAATCTTTAGGGATTTTAAGGTCCAACTGAAATCATAATTAGTCATCAGTTTTTGCAATTAAAGATAATTTTGAAGTGGTTTTTAAATGTTTCGCTAATATTCTTTTTAACACTGTAAGGAAGAAAAATCTGTTTTAGAGATGTATCTAAAATGCTCCTTGCAGAGTAACAACCACAGAGACAATGTAAACAGACAAACTGTTAACTGTAGTTTACAAGACGAGGAGAGATAGCCTTTTGTTAGCAATGGAACTGAAAAGGAAGGACAGCAACATTTAACATAATCTAAACTGTTCAATGTTGAAATTTGCAGGTGCATTTATAAGCTGTTCAGCTAACAAGCTAATTAGCTATCTAGCCGGCAAACAGTGCACGTTTCCCATGGTGCGTGTTTGTTTGTTACTTGATGTAGCAAGCTAAGGTGCAACACCAGACGTGTCCATGCTTATAGAAGGAAAGCTAATGTAAAATTGTAAAATTTTCATTTCTCCCTTTTGCCAAGTGACAGGAAATATAATTTATGAAGCAGACCTGTGTTCTCTAGATATTTCAGTTGGACCTTAATACAGTACTGATACGGGTAGGGTACAAGTTAAAGGTGCAAGGTAAGTGTTAAATAGCTCTACATCCTGACAGCAATTACTGATATAGAGTGTTCTGGCAGTGACATGGGTCTCCCAGTCCCTCCTTCTGCAGTAAACGGAGAATACATGTTCAGGAGGCCCGTTCACACTTCACAAAATAGTTTCGTGGGGGAGTAGGGAGGGGACTGCTAACTGAACGGACAGAAAGTTAGCCAAAATGCAGCTTACACTTACAGCACCTTTAAGTTTTTTGTCCACGGGCCAAATGGCTAGTGAATATTCAAATTGTACCAGCCACTGAATACATTACCATTGTTTTTAAAATTTTGTTCTGGCACAATAACATTTTTAAACAGCATGTACGCATGTACTATACCAGTCATGAGGTGTAACTGGGACAATGAATATGTCTAGGCTGTTGCATTATCGCTGTCTTGATGTTCTTGTGTCTGTACTATGAGCCAAGGACTTGGAGCAGAGTTATGCTTCAGGGTCAGTGCCATGTGTCTGAGCAGAGATTAAGTGGGAACAGCGGGCTGAGAGTGAGACAGGCAGGGAGAATCTGAAAGAGAAAGACGGACAGAGACAGAGCCCAAAGACAGTAAGAGAGTGCAGAAAGCTACTGAGCCACACAGTGTAGTGCTATTGATATCTGCTCTATCCCATATCACCCATGTTACCTTCCTATGCATTTCCCTACATCAATCTGTCTTCTAGTTAGACTTTGCTACTTTGTTTACACCTAGGCAGTCCCATGTGATTCTGGAGAAGAGAAGCCAAAGACACCAGTGAGGGGACGATGTTCTGCGACAGGCCAAGATAATCCAGTTGATTTGCAAACAGGAAGGAGGGTAGTCCACGATCAGGTGTAAGAGTCACTGAGGATTAAGGCCTTCCTGAGGAAACTGGGCTCACCTTCATGTCCCCAGTATGACATCTGCATGAGAGAAAACAGAAGAGAATCACTTTGGTCTCTGGCTCTTTTCATTTGGATTATCATTAATCAATAAACGGCAAGTGTAACTGTGCAGCTTGTTCTGCCAGCCATGTGGCCACAAGTGGCACCTACAGCATAAAAGCACATAATGTTTTACTTAATTAAAACTAACATTCACTTACAAAGACATATCTACTCAAAGTTTGCCGACATTAGACACTAAAAAACAACTGCTCATACCTGACCAAGTAAGGCTGTAGCAGCAAATATCTTTATTGAATGTTTTTTTTTTAAAGGTGCCTTTAATTGCCTATTTAATGAATATTTAAACTAACAACCAAGTGAAAACAAACGAGAAAAAAATAAAAGGGATAAAAACATCAGCCTGTGTGTCAACAGTTGCAGCAGCAACCTATTTACACATCCAGCAGGAGCAACATTAGCATTGATTTGGACCTTACAAATTCAAGTCAAATATTCATTTTCCTTTCATTTCGGTTTCTGTGAGTAAAGTTGTAAGTTGGGGAACCAGAATAATAGGCTGAAAGATACTAAAATAGTCCATATAGCTGGTGATAATTTTCTGTGGTTTTGTTACTATGAGTGACAACTTTCACATTACACACTGTCATTTGATTCATTGATCAATGCGATATATAGAGAAAAAAATATTGTTTACCAATCAATCAATCAAATGTATCAGCAAACACACAATATAGTGGAGTCACCGTGTCCTGAACAGAATCCCTTTACCTGTGTTGCTTTCACAGCCTCTCTGTGGTATGTTTCCATAGCCGGTCTGTTGGGTAGAGTGGCTGAAACAGCTGTTTTTGTCATCTACGTCGGTGAAGGATTTTATTTTATTTTTTTTTTTTTCAACCAAACCAGAGTTGGTGGTTGTTAGAACAGTCTTTTAGTGAGTTCTATTTTGTTTCTCTGTCTGGTGGCGAGCAATAGTGATATTACAGCTGTAATCAAAAGCTCTATCTCTGTAGGGATCCTTTCCATAATAATGTCAGACACTGAGAATAACAATCTGAGCTTGTCAGTCGCAGCAACAAGAACTTTTAGTGGACGGACTTTGATGGCCGCATTTGTCCCCAAGGATTAATGTTAGCTTACACTGTGGCTATTGCAGCAGTTTTCACAAATATTTTACATTTTCACATCTAACTCAGTGAATAAAGGTTTATTTTGACCAAACCAGTATCAGTGATTGTTGGAAAGACTGGAAAGTGGTTTTGTTGAGTTTTATTTTATTTCTGTCCCATTGTTTTGCTCTGAAATGCTGGTGCTCCAGCGCGACATCCAGTGTCAAATGAATTTCGTATATATATGTATATATGTATATCTCATCTAAAGATGTCCCTTATCCAAAGCAATTGTAGGTGAACAGATGATGAAATTCAGTGCTAGAAAAGGGAAATTGGAACCATCATTTTATTGGCACAGATTATCAGCAGATTTACACAAACGGAGAATGTGACTGCAGGCTTTATTAAATATTTAAAAAAGGCACCACATTGTGAAAGCAGCCATATAAAAATCTTAAATGAAAGTTACGTCTTCTCTCTGAATAAATCTGACAGGTCTACTGCATAACAGGTGATTTGCCAACAATTAGGGCAGCAAATGACAACGTGGGTTGGAAATTGCTTACGGCAACCTGACGAGCAGCAGAAACCTTCATGTAAGCTGTTATGAAAATCAGAACATTGCAGACAGGAAGGAAGGAAGACCAGAGAAGATAATGGAGGACGGTCACAAACTGAGGAAAGCACACACTGCTCATGTTTAAGTCATGCAAAGCAAACCTCGGGAACACCGATTCCCTCTTTAAAATATGCAGTGACAGAGCCAGGCAAGCAAGCCCCTTGTCTGACATCTCTCTTACATCCAAATTTCCCTCTCCCACCTCTCCTCCCACCACAGCGCACACACTTCCAGAAGTGCTGTGTTTGCACTCCCCTGCCGCACACGCAGGGATGAAAAAGTAACTCTCTCCACTTTCTTTTGCTTCTTCTACTTTCTTGTTTCCCCCTCTTTCTCCCATCTCCCTCGCTCTGGCTCTCCGTCAGACAAAAAAAGGCCTTACGTAACAAGTTTCTGAAGCCTCCATGTCTTGGGGCACATATTTACCCAACATGCACTTGGGGATTACAGTGCAAGGCCCCCTGCTGTAGAAGAGTCTGAGATAGGACTACAGGCTTACAAAGTCCCACATGGGACAGGGTGTGTGTGTTTATAGCGTTACAGAACAGACAAAACTGTACCAAACAAGACAAAAATAATTCAGCATCAATGGTGAACTTCAGAGGTTCACACTGGAGTCACACCTGCTCATGTCTGTATGTATCTGACTGTACGGCCGCTGTCAAAGGCACGGCTGCAGTGCCAGTGTCTGTGAATCCGTGTGCATGCCCGAGAGTTCACACAGGGAGAGGGGCTGTGCCACAGGAGCCAGCAGCAGCAGCCTCAGCAGGGAGAGCAGAGGGGACACGGAGGGAGCTGACTCAATGCCTCCCCGTCTCTATTCTCCCAGAACTCCTCTGTTTTTGCACTAGTAAACAAATACTGAAGGCAAATAAGAGCAACCCCGACCCCTCCTCTCTCTCCCTCTTCCCCGCAATATGAGCCACAGAATGAGAAACAAACAGGTCTCGCATGAACGTTGCTGAGTTTCACCGCAATGTCAACAACAACAAAGGGAGCCGGCACAGATGAGGAAAGGAGGAGTGGAAAACAGAGATGCTGAGGTGAATGTGAACGACGCTGCTTTTTTTTCCTCTCACTGCACATTCAAAGCTACCATATTGTACTTGACACAATACACTAATATAATAAATGGGAGAGAACTATTTTTGAGGGCAACTGTATTTGTTGACAGTGCAAAATACAAAAAAACAACAGTGCAATCTCTTGCAAAAAGGCACAGCTGTACATTTTCTGAATATTGTTTCTTTCTCAGGTGTTCAGGTCTATCAGGGTTTCTGCAAATTTCAGAATCAAACTGTCTTTTAGACTTTTTTTAACATCTGTTGAATTTGAGAACCACGGCGTTACATGTATTACCTTTCACATTCTTTTGTGCTCACATGCTGTATATAAAGTGTTTTGCAAGATACTGTAAAGATGATTGATGATAATGTGGATAATGAGTTTTCCTCTTTTGCCTCGACTTGAAATCTGCCCATTTACACTCAATATGTTTATATTAATAATGGAAAAAAATACTAAGTGTAATATAAAAGGCATTTCTCATAGTGATGAACCCACAGATTATCCCCCAACTACATTTCACATCCAGTGATCTTAAAAAAAAGGATCTTAAAAAATATTTTTCTCAGGAGCAGTTGAAGACAAAAACAGAGCTAAAGGAAGAGTGAATATATGAAGTGTCTTCCCCAGTCGCCCAGATTTGCTGAATCTTTGGTTTTAAGCGGCTCCTTAAAACCCATCTCAAAAAGTGCTATATAAATAAAGTCCTACTTACTTACTTACTAACTGGATGTGTAAATAGGCAACTGTTTGCTAACATGTTAGCCATATCTCTTTGATAAGGCAATGACAATATTATGATTTCAACTTGCTGCACTGCCCCCAAGCAGCCAAAAAAAACATTAATCAGGGTTCCCACTCTTTTCCATTCTGCTTCACATCTGGTTAACCCACTCTGTCATACCCCGCAGCTACTGACTGTCAAGTTTCAAACTAAATATGCCCCTAGGTTTATGTAGGAGATCTGAGTGAGGGGCTAAAATACAATATTAAATAATAAAAATATAAATAATATATTGTATATAAATACAAACATTCTTCAGGATAACACAGATTATTTCCAGGATCTTTGGTTATTTAATCAATTTCCAGGTGTTTTATTGACTGGAAAACTAGTCTCTAAATTTCCAGGTTTTCCATGAAGCCATTTTCTTTGCGCATGAGAAATGCTAATTAAGTGACAGATTTATTACAGAAAGCTTAAAACGGGGAAATAATGTGCACATTTAATATCTCTCTGTATGTGAACTGAAGCCTTTTCAGTAAGCAAATATCATCAAATGTAATAAATAAAACTAAATTCACAGTTAAAAAATACACTGAAGAGATGATTGGCCTTTATAACATGGTGATTCAAGTTCTCAAATGACACTCTTTAACAGAAGAAATGAATGTAAATAAAAGACGTGATGTTTTAAGGACCCGCAGACACCTGTGTGTATTTCTGTGTACATCTCCTCGGCTCCCTCACCCTGCCCACCTAGGGCTCCCTCTCTGACGACACATCTCCCTCGGCTCCACTACTGGCGTTGGGGTCCTGCCGGTAACGCTGGGCGCCTTTGTCCCTGCTCGACTCTGAGGGGCCCTTGGAGCGCGTCTTCTCTTTCCTCTGCTGCTGCTTCTCCTGCTTTGACAGCTGAGGAAACACAAGAAACAGGAAAGGTTGGTTCTTAAAAAACAATCTTTATCTCACGGTTCAATTCTTGTGCCCTTAACATGTACAAACCTGTCAAAGGAGATGACAAAAACACTTTTCTATACACATGCCATAAATTATAGAAAAGCTTGGATTGCGCCTTAAGAACATTTAGGTGCCTCTGGAGAGGAAGAGGAGTTAAAGGAAAATTCCATACACATGGCTGTTAACAGAGTGCTCCAGTTTACGTTCAACTTGCCTTGTCGACTCCTTCAGTCTTTTTTTCCCCCCAGAGAACATGCCTGAACTTGATGCATCCAGCTGTGAGCTTTATGTGTTATCTTTGCAAAATAGAGAGCCTAAAAAAAACCTTTGATTCTGAGCGGCAAGCTGACATTTGCCAGTGATGTCTCAGATAGCCAAAAATATTTTCTGCTATCTAACTTATTGTAGCTCTACTAAAATATCTCAGAAATGCATCATTTAGTGCTTCTGCTTTTTTAAACAGAATCATTTGGAGTGAAAGAGAGCAGGAAAATTCTGAAACTTTTTTTTTTTTTAAATGAGTGATTTGTACTAAATAGTGACAGCCTTAGTATGCACCTACTGATAAAAGAAACCATGTTAAAAGGTTAAATTGCAACCATTTTCTGGCAAGGTAAAAAAAAAATCTGATATATTTTGAACTTTAAACAAGAGTCGATTATATTAAAAGGTCCTGGAAGCAGGGTCTGCCAAAGTTAGAACAGTTGTGTTTATTTCACTAAGAAATAATGCTTTT